TAATTTCCGTATGATTGAGAGGCACTACTTCCGCGATCAGCTGCTGAAAAGCTTTGATTTTGAATTTGGCTTCTGCATCCCCAGCAGTAAAAACACTTGTGAGCACATCTATGAATTCCCCCAGCTCTCGGAGGATCTCAGTAAGCTCGCTTTCATTTCTGGGTTATCACACTGTGATGTTCATCTGAGGTGGTTTGGGGGAGCCCTTTTTTAAAAGCTGTCATAAAAAGAGTATGTTGGGTAGAATAATTCGTACTTTTAGATCTGTGTTAACACTGATTTTGTTTTTTGGTAGCTTGCATCCCATCACCCACCAGAGTTGCTTTTTTAGTGTGTTTTTTTAATTTGTAAAAAGGAAGCTTCATATCCGAGAGAAAAAAGATAATTGTGTTATAAAACAACCAAAAAATGGGATTAAAAAGGCATCCAGTAAATGGATGACTTAAATGTTATGTTCTGGTTTAATGTTTGATGTGCTATGTTGAGAGCTTGAGAGGTTTTAGTATGAACATAACTTTTATTGTCTCTCCTCTCTCCCAAGACACAACAGCACAAGCACTAAATCTGTGTGATCTTATTCTTTACAACCCCTAATTGTGTATGTCAGCACTAATATTACAGTCTGTAGAAAATACAGTGAGACACTTGCTGCCTGCTTATTATCAGACCAGAACAAATTTCTTTTGAGTTCACTGTTAATCATGGTTTTCTTTTTAAAAAAAACCAGCAAAATAAACCCTGGAAACTGTAACGTGATCTCATTTTGAGGTTAGGTGGAGCAGCTACCCTTTTATGGTGCCTTGATGTATTTGGATTACGAACATTTTTCATCCCTGAAAGTATTCTTCAGGGATGAAAGATGAAAAAAATGTCTGGATGTGGCACTTGGGGACGTGGTTCAGTGGTGAACATGGCAGTGCTGGGTTAGTGGTTGGACTTGATGATCTTAGAAGGCTTTTCCAACATAAATGATTCCATGGTTCTATGATTCTGTGATTATGTTTGAGTTGTCTTAAAGATACTGTCAGCAAATAGTTTGGGTTGGTTCCCATTTGGGTTTTTCCCCTGAAGAGTTTGCTGCTGTCTGAGCGACGCCGTGAAACCTGCCCGAAACCCCGTGTTTCCTGAACATATCTGCAGTGTGACTGTTAATTTTGCTTGTTTTGTCCTTTTTTACCCCCTGCAGTTCGAGAGATGATCCTTCATCCCTACGAGACACAGTCGGACAGTTTCTACTTTGTAGACAACAAGCTCGTGATGCACAACAAGGCAGATTATTCATACAGTGGAGGACCTTGAGCGCAGGATGGGCCGCGCTGGCCTCCCCTTTCCTATGGAAGTCGTCAGGGATACCAACACCTTCAGTTCTGCTGCCTGCAGTGTCAACTGGACAAGGATCCACAAAACCAAGGACTCTTTGCCACAGTAGGAGTTTCATGACTAAATTTGCCGGTCTCATCTCTTTTGAGCTTTGAAGCAGACCCAGTTCTTCAGAACTTTAGGCTGAATGATCTTTGGATACCAATTCCCTAAGTTCTTTAAGTGTCTGCTTCGAAAATGGCCTTGTGGGACCTGGGGGATTTTGCCCTAATTCTGTGAATTTGTGTTCTCGCCCGAAAGTATCTTTTAGGACATGATTGCTTTCCCAAAGAATGTAATCAGAGAAACCACGTGAGTGGATGGATGCAGAGACAGAGGTTTGGTTGGTTGCTTCTCTTTGTCAGTGCTTCAAAGGCCAATTTAACTTGTCTATCCCGTCAAAAATGTCGAGCATAGCATCTCACAAAGGCAAGTTTCATCTTTAGATTGGCTCTCTCCATAAGTATTTCATCCTTTAGTTTTGGTCCTTCTATTTAATGTTCTGTTTAATCCTGGAAATGCCGAAACTCACAATGAAGACCAGTAGTTCAATGACAGAGCCCTTTTAATTGGGTACTGTCCTTTCACATTTCAGTTGAAGGTAAATTAGCATTGTGGGTCTATGAACCTCTGTAAGTACCTTCCATTCATTTCAGGTTTTGCAGAATAATCAGGAAAAATGGAAGGATTTTAGCTTTATTTAACATTTTCACATAGCTAACATTCAGCCTATTCATGCTTACACATTTCCATGTCTGGGTTTTTTTTTTCATCTCTGCTCAATACCAAGATAAGGGTTTCAGCACTGCTTGTTAGAGCAACACTTTCATTTGTCTATGGCAGCTGGAGTATGTGGAATTTCCAATTTTCTATTTGTATCTGCATTTAAAGAATGTTATGACAGTGCTTTCCCTTTGTTAAAAATGTTTCACATCGATAATTAGTACAGGTGAAACAGTCTAATAGTGTACAACTTAAAGGCACAGGAAAAAAATTTAGCAAGAGCTCTCTCTTCAGACTCTGGAAGAAGTTTAAGACCAATTTTGCCCAAGAAGTAGCAACACCAAGAATAAACCAGTATGGGGTGGCCTGTTGTCATGAAACCCCTACTCCAAAGGTCAGTTCACTGATACTTTAAAAAAAAAAAAAAAAAGGCAGTTGAAGTTTGTAGATATTTCTATAAATACTTGATGTCTCCATGTCTAATTCTGTGAGTTGAAGTGGAACATTCTATGTTAGCCTCGGATAGGTGTGATTGTAATAATTTTTATAAAATAACATTTCCAGTTGTGCTGAGCATCTTTTTAGTCGCAGCCCACGTCAGACAGGACTACAAATGGTTCCAAGTGTAGCCATCTGCCCAAGAACAGGGAGGTTTTTGTGCTCTTGCTGGGGTTGTGGTCACTGTTAAATGTGTCACAGGTTGTATTTGGCATGGCTTTCTTGAATTCTGAGAGAGGATTCAGTTTTCTAAAGAAAACACAGTGAGTTTAGGTTACAGCACAGAGTTTTTATTAAGCTTGGTAGCTACAAAAGTATGTAAAATTCACTGGTTTTACACAACTAGTAGTTGTTGTAATTCTTATCACAATGAGACTTGTATTTATCACTATTTTTTGTCTCTACTGTATTAAATCATACAGCTAGCCTATGGCTGACTGATCTGTTTGAGAGACACAAAGAATTTTCTCCTTATTTGTATAATGCTCTGAGCTACTGAACATTGATTTTACAGCACAATAATTACTAATGGTGAAAATAGTTTCAAAAATTTTGTCATTCCTCCTCCCCCTTTTTTTTTTGCATCAAGGCTGTTAAACTAGCCATATATACAATGACATTTTGCAAGTTTAAGTATTTCTGAATTTTGTTTCAACTCTTGAAGGAGAAAATATGTTGACTTAGAGACAGAAGAGAGTATGTGTGTTTGTAATTAGCACCCTGCACAGAGGTTTTTTGGTGGTATTTTTCACCTGCTGTTCATAATAGTCACTTCTGTGCATAAGATTTTTAAAAGACTGTTAGGAATGGTACTTGCCCAGAATAACCAGCCATATATTTAATATGGAAATATACATCTCAGTATGTCTTGGTGAGATTAGTTGTGCTTTGGTGTGGACCCTTGGGTCATTGTACAGAGTTTCCTCTCTGTACAGCACATTGTTGCCACCTGCAATAGTCATGTTCTGCTCCTTTTAAGATTTTGGACTTCAAAACCAAAATAATTCCATAAAAATATTACTGTAGTCAATGGAAACTTGAGTGGTAGACATGCCCCTTATAAAAGAACCTCGAGAAAATCACCCTGTCCCCAAGAGGGCAGTGTGTTGTTGGATGGACTTTCTGACACTGTATTTTAGGGTAGGTTTGAGGTTAAACACAACAGTATGAATTATCTGCTGCTGATCTCCTGAAATCTGGTAATTCAGATTCCATGGGCAGTAATTCCAGGCTAACAGAAAATTTGGTGTGAATCATATAGGAGATACTTTACTGAGTCAATTTGTCGTCTAGTAGTATTAGGAATATTTTAAACCAGAAACAAAGATTGGACATTTTCAATAAAATTAATTTCAACCTATTGTAGCTTTAGGTAAAGTTGGAGGAATTTTACTTGTTTTAAAAGTCCCCAGAGTTTGCTACAAATAACAAATCCTGATTCTTAAACCATGACAAATAACAAAACTTTCTGTGGGAAGTGTAACGAAGGTGCTTTTTTTCTGTGTTCCACTGGAGCAGTTATCACTGTTATCTCCCTGTTTTACTTGGAAACGCCTTGTTAGCATTTCTTTAAGGTCATCTGCATCCACAGTCTTTACAAACTTGTGGGAATCAGATAAGCTGTAAAGTGAAACCCACATTTTTTCCCCTTAAATTGGCAGTTGATTCTTACTATAAACCGGTTGAAAAATTAAATCTTAGCAGCATTGTTCACAGAAGAATTTGTTAATCTCCTGGTCTAGTTAATTATTTGGTATTTTAATATTAATTATTTGGGGTTTACTTTGGAATTTCATTGCGAAATCACCAAGTAATGGCTCTGGAAGAAAAGAATTCTTTTATTTTCTTCCTTGGGCCCATTTTAAACGTTGCTTTAATTAGCACTGCAGCTCTGTTTTAACAAGCCAGCCTGGCAATTCAGGATGTGACTTTCCGAAAGTGAAAGAAAACATCTAAGAGCTAACCAAGATTATCTGCTAATAATGCCTGGCTGTTTCCTGTCATAAAATGGGATTATGTGTGTGCTTTACAGAGTGACTTAATCTTGGAAAAAGAAACTAAGTCCCTGTGAGTGCTAATAGTGACATAATTTTTCTGAGAGACAGGGAAATTATAGCTCAACACGTTCTTTCAAGGAAATTATAACTCGACACATTTTTTTCACTTTGTCAGCCTTGGATCCCTTGAAATGTCAGGTTTTTTTAAGAAAAGCAGCAGTAATACATTGGTGGTGAGCTGCCATGCTGCATGCTCTATTTATTCACACTTCCGTGGCAGGAAGAGAACAATTTATTTTTAAAATTAACACATCAACTGTGGTTTAAATTCTAGAAACTTTTTGTGGCAAAAGCCAAAATTGTTTCTGTGAATTATCCTCTCTGTGGTGACATTTATGAAATAACTGAATGATCCACTCTCCCTGACTCTGAAGAATTTATTTATTTATTTTATTTAATGTAGGAAGTCTCTGTAGGTTTGAAAACAATGTGTTGGGGTTTAGTTCTTGCTCACAATCTCTCTCTGTGTCTTGTTTTTGAGCAGGTCAGTAAGATGCTCTGTTTTCCATCTCTGTCCTCTGTTTGAGTTTCATTTCAAAATCCTATGTAGAGTGTCACAGTGATGGCTGGCTGTGTGTGAAACATGCAGGCTACCAACTTCCAAATACCTTCAGTTTGAGAAAAGACTGTTAAAGTATATTGAGAAATAGTGCTACATATCGACCCATAAAAAATAAATTCCAATCTTCATAACAAAAATTATAGAGAACTCTTAGTCATGCAAAGATGGGGGGCTATTTAAGGTAAGAAAATGCTAATGTCCAACAGCTATACTTAATAAGTATTATAAAAATGCTGTATTAATTATTCATAACCTGCAAAAGATGGTTAACAGCTCAATTTTAATTAGATCTGGTTAGGAAGGAAACTATAGAGATGATTGCTATTGTTAATAGAGGTGTGGGGGAGCAAATAGAAATGTGTATGTATGGCACAAAAGCTGGGCAGATTTATGTGCATTGACTCTTTGTGGGGGGAAAAAAATGAGGGGAGAGGGGGACAAGGACAGGAAAAGAATTAATTTCAGCTATTTGGACCCAAGAGGTTCAAGGCCATGGTAAGTGTAAATGAGTTTTCTCTTGAGTCTGAGTCAGCTGGGAGCCTCATTTCGTGGTTCTTCTCTATACCCCCAGCATAAGCACTACCTAAATTTATAGAAGTGTTTCAATACTAACATTAAATGTCATTCACAGTTCGTATCATTTTCTATACATGGAAATATTTGAAGTATTTGGAGAGTGTGATGCTCTAGGTCTCAACGCTGCAGCTCAGTTGTTTTCTATGTCACTGGTCAGTGTGACCCAGCGGGTGAAATGGTGTTTGTGTGTCTGTAGCCTCCCTCCAAGCCCTGTGTTCATGCCTGCTGTGATGTCTGCTTGTATCTTAATACACCCAGCAAACCTGTTTGAATGTGACATTGACTTTTTTTTGGCATAGCAGCAGAGTTGTCTGTATTAAAATGTATTTATAAAAAAATATATCTATTTTTTGTGGAATGAAAGTAGGATTCTAGTTAATACACCACTGGGAAAATGTTAGAAGCATTTTTACCAAGTTAATTTCTAATTCTTTGTACTTGTTAGTTACCTGATTTGTTTGCTAGGAGAACATCCACTGTGGCCCATCCTGTGGCAATGCAATGCACTGTCGTGCAGAGAATCTGGTTTTCAGAAAACTGGGAGTCTTTTGTTTCCCTTTGGGACAGTAGGGAACTGAGTAGTTCACCAGGTATAAAAGGAACCTTGGCACGGAATCCACTTCTGTGGCTTTGGCTTCAGTCCCTAAACTGACTTATTGCAGATAGATATGTAGAGAGAGCAAAGACTGAGACTTCAGGATAAAAAAAAAAAATTAGATGCTACAATTTAGTCTTCCTGTAGGAGAAGGAGAGTCCTAAAATTAATTTATACAAGGATTAAATAGGGACTGCACTTGCTTAAATTGATTTCATATTGGCAGCTTAGTCATCAATGTGCATACTAGGGAATATGCTTAACTTTTTCCATTACCTTGGAAAATGGTTCAAAAACATGTCACATCCGTTAGCAAGTGTTTCTTCTCCTGTAACAAATTGCAAAATGTAAAAAAAAAAAAATAAATTATTGATCCTAGAAATGAGGGTGATTGTCTGTTTTGTTTAATTATTTATATTAGCACACGAAAAACATTCAAACTTTCATTTCAGATCCCTTCCATCAATATCTGAAGTCCAGCTTTGTGCAAATGTATGTAACCAGCTTCATTTTTGGTGGTTGTAAACACGGGGAAACTCTGCAGTGGTTTGGGTTGTTATGTGAGTAAAACCATCACATTAAGAGTATTTAAGTGGGATTCAGCTTTCAGATTGGGAAAATATCTTGGGGTGTAATTAAAAGAAATTAATATTGATTACATTAATGGAACCAGCTGCTCAGGCTGTAATGAGGTGTATTGGGGTAATTCCACCTTGATGGCTTTGATATTTCAGTCAGAAATTCCTGGGAATATCTCTGTATTTCTCTGTGAGCAGAACAATTTACCAACTCTCAGAGGAAAAGAAGTAGAATGTTTTTGTTTGAAAACATCTTCTATAATTAATTTTGATTCCACAGGATTACTGGGGACTCCTTAATAACACAGGATCCCGCAGTGTGTGCTGAAATTTGAGGAAGAAATTTATTAATCCAAAGCTTTACCTTTTGGATTATTACTTGGAGCTGCATGAAACACTTGGACTGAGCTCTGCGGTGAGGTGGATACCTGAGCACAGGTTTGTAATGTGACTTTTTCAGCTGAAGATACACTTTGAGTCTGACATCAGTTCTCTTACAAGCTCTCCCAGATCAGAGGCTTTGCCTGTACCTGTTCTCTGTGGTGAGATGTTATCTCCTGCTTAAACTTCCTCTCGGAATTACCTGAACAACTGGAAGCATCAGGTCTATTTTCTTAGAATTCTTGATGCTGATTTCACTGAATACTTAAAGAGAAGAGAGAGCAAAATCGGTGCTGGTAAACCTAATAAGGCAGGTTAAACTCTCTGATTTTCATGCTCAAGTATAATTACCTGGACTTGCTTAGAAATCTTCTGAGATTGAAAAGAACCTTAAAAAAAAAAATCCAAATATTATTCCTGTGGAAACTCCTCAGTGTTAAATGTCTGCCAAAAATATACTACATTACCAATGCTTTTTCTTTTTTTTTTTTCCCCCCCTCTCTTTAGCTGGTATGTCAGCCTCATTTATTAATAAATATGCCTAATCATCCTGGAGATGTTCTCTGCTTTTCCTCAGATTCTTATTTCTTATGGCATTTGCTTAGTTATTGTGACAAATCTTAAGTGTTCACCCCATGTTTCTATTTTATTTGTCATTGTTCAAGGGCATTCATCTATCTATAACTTGCTTTCCCTTAACATTTCTTACTTGTAGGAAGAACACTTCTCAGTGATAAAAGCACTCCAAGTTCCTCAATTTTTCCCTGTAGAGACAATGTATCTTATTTTAGAGATTACTGAAGTCTCTCATTGCATGCTAGGATAAACTGAAAGTATTTATTCTCCCTATTTAAGTCCACAAAAAGGAGTAATTGCTTTACAGAGATAATTTTTTTTTCCTTAACCAGTGCTGTACAAGAACTTAAAATAGGAGGTGAAATCATACTGGATAATGTATTTTAATTAAAACTACAAAGAGAATTTAGGTAGGTAGAGCATAATTGCAGTTGGATGATTCCCAGCCATTATTTTGAAAACTGACATGGGACCTTAAATAACAAAGGCCTGTGTTATTTAAAAATAATTTAATTATTCTAGGGGAGGGCGTAAACCATGTTAATGAAGCTGCATATGAAAGTAGCAAGAAATAAAAACAGGGAAGTTCCAAACAGCAATAGAGAAAACACATAATTAAATTTACTTTATGAAAGGAAGATAACACAGATGGGAGAGAAGAGTTCTAAACATCTTCAGTTCTTCTTGTGGGATGACAGGATGAATCAGAAAAGGGGAATAGCAAACTGGATAGATTAATATAAGGAAGAAATTCTTCCCAGTGAGGGTGGTGAGGCTCTGGCACAGGTTGCCAAGAGAAGCTGTGGCTGCCTCATCCCTGGAAGTCTCCAAGGCCGGGTTGGATGGGTGTTGGAGCAACCTGGGATAGTGGAAGGTGTCCCTGCCCATGGCAGGGGGTGGAATGAGATGAACTTTAAGGTTCCTTCCAACCCAAAACCATTTTATAATTCTGTACATATTTTATAATCTTTCTATTTTATCTATAAAACAGTTATTCCAGATGACAAATTATTGGGATTTGCTGGTTTTAATGTTTTTGCTGGCACAGTTATGCTCACAGCTCTACTTCTTGCACTTCCTTGGCTATAGAAGTGTGTGTAGCTTTTGTTTATCCAGTGAAGGAAAGGCAAAAACTGGAGTAGAAAAGCTTGGGAAAGGGGAACATCTGGCAGTCAGGGGTAAAGCTTTCTGTAGAATCTCAAACTGGTAAAGTGCATTTCCTTGCCCACGCAGCCAAGTGGAGAAGTGGGTGTACAAACCCTGTTTCACCTATGAAAGGTGCTAATGTGCCAGACCTGAAAGCTAGAACTATCTAGAACCTCTTTTTAGTTAAAAAACTCCCAACCACCAAAACCAAAGCTCAACCCCAAACCCTGTTTTTATGAATGATGTGAAGGGCACTGCACACCATCGTTCTGCTAATGTTACTCTCCACACTGGCATTCAACTGGCTTTGAAAATCATGTTTTTATTTCCCAAATGCATTCCTTACCACCCTGATCTATAATTAAGTGTCTAATTAAGCCTGCTGACTGCTTTGATGTCTGTACAGGTTCATAAGTCAGGAGAACAGAGGGTTCACTATAACCCCTAAAATTAAAGTGTGTGCAGAGACCTGAGTGTAAGTTCAGAGGAATCAAACTCTCTGCCCCAGACACACAAGACTCTCTTAGCACTGAGATCTCACATTTAAAGGATGTTCCCCCACTGGAATTCATCAGCTGGTATTGGTCACAACCTAAATTTGAAATAACAGTGCAGAAGTGTTCTTTGCAGCTGACAAACACATGGATATGCTTCCTGTGGTTGGCTGGCAAGATGTTTGGAGGAAACACAAGCACAACTGTTACCACTCAGATAACTTTAAGAACTATTATTTCAGCCAATGTTTAAATTTCTGTAAGGTATGTTAAAATGAGAAAGATAATTTCCAGCCAAAGCAAAAATCTGCATTTTTTTTTTTTTTTGGCTTTTAATGCCAAATAAGCACCACAGTTTTCTCCTTAGATTAACTGGATATTTGGTACAAAATATTTTTTCCATTTTTTTTTTTTTTTAATGTTTTAAAGTTGGTCTAGAGGGAAGGGTAAGTATAATTAACGCCTTAAGTAATCCTTCAGGCCTGGTGCCTCCAACAGGCCCAAACACGTTGGGCTTATTCATGTGGTTGAAATTAAATTCTTCAGTTGCTTCCTGAGGAGAAAGATCTTGAATTCTTTGTTCATCCAAATGATGTGAATTCCCTTCTGCAGTGTTTTTGTGACTGATGTGCTTCTACCTGAGCTCTCAGTGGGTCTTGGTGCATCCCCTCATGACAGTCACAATCCATCCGCCCTGCCTGGGCTGCTGCTGCTGTAATTAATTTCCTGGTGCCAATTGCGTGAGTAAGGAATTTGAGTCATGTGACTAATTAAGGTCTTTGCTGCTCAGCCAGGCCTAATTGGTTCTGTCAGGAATAAATCTTTAATGGTTTCAACTGGGCCTCCTCTCTGCCCAGGTCAAAACTGGATCGATTCAGAGCAGGATTCTTCCATTCATCTGAGCAGCAAAATGGCTCTGGGGTGAACTTACTGTGGCCTTTCGGTACCTAAGGGAGCAACAAGAGAGCTGGGGATGGGATTTGGACAAGGGCCTGGAGTGACAGGACAAGGGGAAATGGCTTCAAACTGACAGAGGGCAGGGTTAGATTAGATATGAGGAAGTTTGGGGTTTCATAGTGAAAGTGCATGGGGATCTTGATAAAACTTACCTCTCTAGTCTGGAAGGAACTGATGAGTGGAGCACTAAAAAGATGAAACATACCCCAGTTTAAACACAAAAATTGAGGAAAAAAAATTCAAATAGTTTTCAGAGCGTCTGTTCCAGCTTAAGTGCAGCTGTCATTTCAGTTAATTTGACAAAAAAGAGTCCTTCATACAGTTCCAGTATGTCTAGTGGTACTGAGTGTAGAAATGCTAGACTGTCCATGAAGGTACTTCTTATTTGGTCTCTGTGAGGTTGATCTTCCCTGTGAGGTTGATGAGGCCCTGGAACAGGTTGCCCAGAGAAGCTGTGGCTGCTCCATCCCTGGAAGTGTCCAAGGCCAGGTTGGACAGGGCTTGGAGCAACCTGGCCTGGTGGAAAGTGTTGTAATGAGATGGTCTTTAAGGTCCCTGCCAATCCAAAGCATTATGTGATTCTGTGACAACAAAAGGCAAAAAAAATCATCATTATAAAATGCTGAAGTTGCTCACCCCTGTGAGGGAGATGGTGTCATGTTGGTGGCTGTTTGCTGGGATCTTGCAGTTCATAGTCCTGTTAACATTTGTTACATTGATATCTGGTACCTGAGATTTTTCATGTACTAGCTGAATGAGAGCCCCTAGGGAAATAAATCCCACATGCTGATAATTTTCAGTAATTTCAGTATTTTCCATGCAAACAAATATTCTTTGTGCCTGTTTGTCTCTTTGAACCAAAAAAAAAGGCACTTTTCTGCTTCTAAACAGACTGCATTTAAATTTTGTTCTATGAACTAATTCCACCATTCCTTGTTTTAGTAGTTCTACATTAAATTTGTGCTGTGACCACCCATGGGAAATGCTTCATTAAAGCTTCCTGTTATGTCATTGTAGGGAGGGAATGGATGGTGAACCAGGCAGTTCTTCCACTACCGAGTGTTTTGGGTTTGTTTGTGTTAGACTAGAAATGGATTAGTGGGTCAGAAAAAGCTTGTGAAGTGTTTTTTGGTTTCCATGTTTAGTAGTCTAAACACAAACATTTATACACCGATCTGGATGACTGAAGTGTAAAAATGGAGCAGCAGTCCTGGTAAACTAAATTCTGGAATCCAAATATTTGTTCCAGACAGTAATTTAGACTTATGTGAAAGTGCCAATAAGTCAGTTGCACTTTTCAAGCTTTGTGTACGAAGTTAGAGATGCAAAGTAAAACTGATGTGATGTTTAGTGGTTTATCTGTTCCATAATTCCTGTTAATCACTGTTGGGTTTAAGTAGCTCAGTGCCGTGCCAGGGGTGTGAAAGACTGAGCAGAGAGATGAACGGATCCGAGAACTGTCTCAACAAAAGCAAATGAATGTTCAGGGGTGATGGTTGTATAACAAGAACAGGAAAACAGGGGAGGTAGAAATCTTTACTTTAGCCAGAAGTCTTGTAATGGTCAATTTGGGCTCATGACAAGAGAAAAGAGCTTCAAAACATTGTTCCAATGTAAACTGTTATTTGAATTTTTTGAAGTTTAAATTAAACATGTAATAAAAAAAAGGTTAAATTAATAAATCCTAAACTTTAGAATGCAAATTTTTCCTAATCATATGTTGGAGAGGGCAGCAGTGAGCACTTTCTTCTGTTTGGTAATAAGATATTTTTATGGTAATTAGACTTAAGGTTATTTTTTTCACCTAGACAGGTTTGCATAATGTGTTTAGAAGAGGCTGATTAAGCAAACACCATTAGCCTTGGACTGGGAAAACTTCATTCTTTCCTTCCTTTCTTCCTCTGTTTTCAGAGTGCTACTTAAAATGGAATTTAATGCAAATATGTCTGAAATAGATTTGCAGTGTGTGCAAAATACTTATTTTATGGTAGGTACAAAGTAAGGTGTCACCAGCTCTAGGAGCATTCAGAATATGTGCTATCAGTCTGTCAAAAGTTATTTTAAAAGTAAAAAATAAGGATTGCACAAGATGAGGGTTATTCTTTTATATAAAATAAAAGTAGATCAATTAATGTATCTGTTAGCTTTCTCCTTTTTTTTTTTTTTAATAATCGTTCCAGAATTGTAATGTATAGTATAACTCTTTCCTCTTGGACCCATATTTCAGTGTTTTGGGTTTTTTTGTCTCTACCTAAGCTACTAATGCTAAACTGAAGCAAGACAATAAAATTCCAGATGTAGGAGCCTGGAGTGGAGCAGGAAGGGAAACCCAAACCCAATTTATATTATTCAATAACTTGCAGTCTTGTTTGTTTGTTTGTTTGTTTTAAACATGACTCTTTTCTAATAAAAGTCATCACAGAATTTTTCTTATAACTTCTGTGAAATGTCCAACCATTAATTTAATTCCATTAAATGTGGAATGCATTGGAGAAAATACTTTAGGGTGCTTAGATAAATAACTTTATATAGAGGGGACAAGCCTTTCTTGTGTGGATACAGCATGTCACGAAATTCAAGCAAAACACAAGAAAAAATATGTTCTTCCCTATGTCTGATCATTCTTCAGAGCCTTATCAGCAAGAAAAATATAAAATGCCATCTGACACTTAGATTTCTCCTCTGTTTCTTCCTCCCCTTCCAGCTTGTGATCGTGTGTGTGGTCACAAGTGTGGAATATATTGGTGCCTCTGAGGAATGGCCATGCCTGTGAATCACAGGCCGTAGAGGATACGAGTGACACACAGGAATGAACAAATCATGGATGAGTTGCTATGCCCATAAATTATAAATCTTTAACATGGAAAAAGAAGTTTAGCTTTTCTTGCTTTAAAATCCGCAAGTCTGGAATTCCTTTAGCAGATATTTATCTCAGCTTGATAACGTGTTGTCCGGATTCATACTGTCAGTTTTGATGGATTTTTTTCACGTGCCATGCATTTGCTCTAATCATAAATATTTTATTACAATTTTGCCATGTTTTTGGAGCAATGAACTATCCCAGTGCTCTTTGTCTGGTGTGTTCTCATGCGTTTTCTTGTTGTCTCCCTCTGCCAAATAACAAAATATTGGGAATGTTGTTAATTCTGATGGGAATATCTTGCAAAGGCCTGTATTGTTCTATACACTGGCCATGGTGTGGTTCATTGTGTGCTACTCGGGAGGGGTTTCTATAAGGAGTTTAAAAAGGGTTTAACAAGAATTTGATGCAAATAGTGATTGAAAGTCATTGAGAACTGAGCATCTCGCTCCCTCAGGGTTCTGAAAATGTCGATCTGTGTCACAACTGTTTGGTGTTTGCAGTGAAAGGCTTCTAAATGGAGACAGTCTTATCCAGAAAAGTCTTGGAAGGTGTAGGTTGTGGAGTGCAGAATTCCCTCTGGCATCAGCGTGGCTGTTGGCTGAAGTTGTGTAACTGAGTTTGAGGAGTCTGAGAGGGTCTGGGTGGTCCTGCCCAGCTCTGGGGGGTCTTGGTGCACCAGTGGGGCCTTCTGTTTGAGGAAGTCAGGGCTTAAAAAACACACAAAGCCAAGGAAACCAACCCAGCCAGATCTGCTGTGAACAGTCAAATATTTGTAGAGAATCTTATTTACCAATTATTATTATTATTATTATTTTTGGCTTAAGGGTGATGTTGACATATTTTAAGGCATCATAGTAGCTGTGTGCTGCAGGGCCACAGGGGGACAAAACCACTGCCTGAGCACAGGGTATCCTGTATTAGGATGGATATTTATTTGATGCTTTTTTTAAAAAAAAAGGTACCTAGGATAATATTATCTGTCTTACAGTTTATACTTGGTATTTATTTTTAAGTTGGTAACCCTTAAATTATGCTGAATATATGATATATGATATATTATACTATATATATAACAGTGTGCATGTGTATATATATATATCTGTGTTGTATATAGTGTTATATACATATTCACTGTGTTATATACTATTTTATATATACTGTATATAATACACATATATATTGTATATAATACGATATATAAAACACTATATATATACATAGTGTTTTATATACATATAAATACTGTTTAGCAGCTTTACACTTACTGTGTGCTTTAAGTTTATCACTTAATATTCACATTTATTTTGACATGGGATACTTCGTTTTTTCCTTATTTCTTTACCTAAATGTTAGGATGGTCAAGAACTGATTCCCCAGCTCTAATGTGTTTGTATAACTCTCATCCTGCTGTTTTTGGGTTTTTTTTTCATGGACCAGCTTGGCCAACCTGACTGTGTTTCTTCAACTGCGTATTCTCTTTGCAGGAGGCCAAGGAAGAGGAGCTTGAGTCAAGTGGGGATTTCTTGGTAGTTGCGTGAGGGATTACAAAGCTGCATCACATGTGCTCTTCCTAAGTCGTCTTTATCCGTCTGCCCCTAATCTGATTTTAAGTCTGGGCTAGTAGGCACAGATGAAGGTGTAGATTTGGACCTGGGTTTGGCATCGGTCTGAGCGGGCAGTGCTCCCACCTTGCTGTGGGACAGCGGCTAATTAAACCCGCATGTCTATATTTTAGCAATTCCATCTCTCTCTTCTATCCTTGGTAATTCCTCCCCTGCTTTTCCGGAGTGTAAATGACCCAATCTGACCCAAATCTCGACCTCCTTGTTTCAGTTTGAATTAACATAGTCTGTGATTGGAGATCAGGGAATCACAGAATGGGTTGGGTTGGAAGGGACCTTAAAAATCATCTCGTTCCACCCCCTGCCACGGGCAGGGACACCTTCCACTAGGCCAGGTTGCTCCAAGCCCTGTCCAACCCATCCCCAGGGATGGGGCAGCCACAGCTTCTCTGGGAATCCTGCCATTCAAGACACTGATATTTTTTGGCTTCTAGACTGTTTTCTTCAGAACGTTCCTGCTGCAGATAGCTTTGGGTTTAGATTGCATCACTTGAAATAAAACTGGTTTATTTTGTTTCATAAGCAGCACCTTTGGAAAATCAGA